TAGATCAAAATCCTGTGTCTGGGGAAGAGGAAGGGGGTTTTAATCCATGTTTGCTGTAGAGAAAAGCTTATTCCAAACTATGGATTGTCTCTTACCAAACTAAGGCTCCGAATCAAGTTGTGCAGCACGAGCCCGTACTCAGTGGGTCCGATTCTGTTCTTAGTCACGTTACCCCAGACGTGCATCCTGTGATCGAGAGCAGAATCTGGCTCCCAGGTCTTGCTTTTCCTAGCTAGTTCCTGAGGTTGTGGGGGCTCAGTGAGATCGAGTAGATAACCCACTACTTCCAAATAACTGATTCGTATATCACAGATTGATACTTGGCTGCCTGTTTTCATCCATCTGACTACCTTCATGAGGAGTTCTTGGTGCCGATCCTGTTGTACTGCAGCTGTCCACTTCTTGTTCAGCTGTTCACTTGTCTTCTAGCTCTCAGTAGAGCATGGGCTTCCCCTGAGCCCCAGATGTGCACAGACTTAAGGAGCTTCTGGTTTACTCTGCGGATAGAGTGAGCCCAGCCAGCCCTGGGGCACAGAATAGAGGTACAGACTCCCTGCGTGACATTGGGCACAGTGCTCCAGTTCCCCTTCTATAACATGGAGAAAATAGTACTCTTCACATGGGGTGTTACAAGGATAACCATGACATGCATGAGGTGCTAACACACCATGGTGATGGGTACCATATCAGGAACTAGACAGGCAAGGAGACCAGCTGGCACATCCAACATCTTACCCTGACTCTGCTCTCCTCTGAGCTATGTGCATGAATGCACAGTGTATAGAACTCCCTTCAATACACTATAATCCGTAATATGATTCAAAAGCCTGTTCCCTTAAAAAGAAAGATGGGGCAAGAGGAGAATATCAGCATTAAGAATCGAACCACATGAACTTGCAGGAAAAAAAATGTGGGTCCTAAACCAGTAAATGTGGAGACAGTTTTGTTCAAATTACCTGGGATTGTGAGTTCTGTTCCTGGGCATGCTGCAGGAGGACATGCTGCTTTGTGTGTGTTATATATAATGTACATGTGAAACATCATAAATGATATGCAGGTGAGGTGTCAAATATAGCAAAGGATTATAGTCCTACTGTGGACTTCAAGACTGTAAGTAAACTGAAATTGTATCCCATGATAAATTAGTCCTCTTTCATTTGCAAACAGAAGGGTTTCTTAACTCAGGCAGGTAACTTATGATTTCTAGTGGGAAACGATTTCAAATACTCTGGAGTCATGTTACTCTTTTTAACGATCTTTGTTTTATTAACTGAATTGAGTGACCTGGAATCTATCCCCTCATGCAGAGCAGACACTGTGCTATGGCTGCCAGACACTGATCCTGAACGAGTTGAAATCTCCTCTCTGAAGTCCATACCGGTGGCTGTCACTGAAGTCTCTGGATTTGAGGGCAGAATTTGGCCACAAAGGATTAAATGTAGCACAATACGATTTTTAAAAAATAAAACAGTTGAGGCTTCAAACAGCACACAGAGGCTGGTAATGCCACGAAGTGCTTCTGCAATTGAAAAGAGCTGGGTTCGTCAAATGACCCACTTCACGCTTGTGCCAGTATGACAAACCAGCTCAAAGCAGCATATTCAACAAACAGCTCTCTGATTTTTATTTTTTTTTTGTTCTCGTTGAAATATATTTGTGTTTGAAATCTGCTCATTCCATAATAGCGGCCTCTGCAGTGAAGGTTATAATCCTATCTTTCGAGACTTGATGGTTCAATTTGGAATGCTCACTTGCATAGTAGCCATGTCTTGATCTGTAGAAGGAAATGGGACATTGGTTGTATGAGGATCCTTTTTTTAAAAAAAACCATCAGTATCTGACAATTTCTAACAAGTGAGAGGGTATTTGTCTCCCCCCCCCAATCTTAATGATCTTATGTATCTAAGGAGCACTGTCAAATTTAAGAAACCTTAGAGATGCCTTCAACTTGAAACCTAGTCAACTGAAAAAGAATTGAAAATAGGCTGTGGCTACCCTACATGGCTTTTAGCGTCATGGCTGTGCCTGAGAGCCGTACTGCTAAAAGGCACGCAGTGTAGCTGCTGTTTGTTGGCAGGGGGGAGCTCTCCTGCCGTCAAAGCGCTGTTCACACCGGCACTTTTCATCGGTAAAACTTTTGTCGTTCAGCGGGGTGGTTTTTTTTAACACCCCGAACGACAAAAGTTTTGCCGACGACGTGCCAGTGTAGACAGACCCTCGGGTTCTACATTTGCCTGTGGGGTCCCCCTGCCAATTTTTGTGCTTTCACAACACTTTCCTATTTTTTAAAAACATTGCTTTCACAGAGCAACAGGCGAGATTATCACTAACCGAGGAAGTGATAGTAGTTGAACAGTGAAAATGATTATATGCAAAGTGTCAAATTTAAATACATCGTGCAAGGTTAAACATTCTGGAAAAACATAGACTGAGACATGTGGTACATGAAACCGCAATCCCTTCTGAAACTGACTAGATAGCAAGTTAAGTGTCCCTTCAGACTGATGTGCAGTTCAGCTAGTCTGGATTTAACTTTTACAAGTGATGCAGTTTTGTCCCACAGAAAAAATGTAGGCAATCTGTTTTCCTTCTATTTTTCTGCACGAACCTGGCATCTCCAGCCATCTGTTTTGTACCCAGTTTGGATTATTCCTCTTCTCCACGGAGTTCAGATGTAATTGATCACTTTCATTAAAGCATCAAGCCTCAGTATATCCAATCAGTCCTTAAGATCTGAATCAGGCAGAGGTTTCCACTGGGGATGTCACAACAGAATGATAGTATATAGTACTAATCAGCCTGTAGTGGCTAAAACCTGTATCTTTTCTGGCAGATAAAGCATTTCAAACCCTTTGTGGTTATATTCATTTGGATTGGTTTTTCTGCTCAAGGGCGTTTATCAGCTGTGGAGTGACTATGTTAATCTCTGCTGTGACAACTTGTGGTAGTACAGTATTTCCATTGAATTTTGCTCATCTGTTACCATATTGTCAATTTATTCTTGATGTCCCCACCCTTTCTGATATGCTGCTGGTTTTTATGTACAGTAGATGATCATCCTATCAGTAAACTGATGAGTGGATATAATTGTTTCCTGATGAAATCCATGCATGTCTTTATCCCAAGTGCAAACCCCCCCTAGATAACTGAGTATTTTGAAATTTTGCCACTCTCTCAGGCCCAATCTTAATTTTTTATTATATTTGGTGGTGTGATCTGAACTTTCCCATACCTACATGCCAGTCTGCAAGAAGAAATCTGGGAATGGAACATTGTAGGGCTTCCATTGTATTAGAGGAACTGATGTGCTGGAATAAAGTAGGGTCCCAACACAATACAATCTTCAAATGAGTTTGGGAGTTTGAAAGCCATGATGTTGGAATCTGACTGCCTACGTCTGTCGCAGTGGGAGTACAGAATGATACGACTCAGTGCCTGTTCTAAAATATGATGCTGGGTGAATGTATTGTGTATGTTTAACAGGTTTCACTGTTGCACTATAATATGTCTTTGTGTAATTAAAGTTTTTATTATTTATTTGATCATCTCATTATGCATCTATCGTGGTTGGGTAATTTACATTTTGCAATGTTTGCAAGGTAACTTGATTTTTTTTTCTACCCTCTGCAACAGTAGTCTGTTGTGTGTAACAGCTTATTAACTGCAGCCCTAATCTTTTACAGTTACATTTCTACCTATAACATCTAAAGTGGGATAAGTCAAAGTGAAACTTACAAGATGCAGCCTGATTCTCCTTAATTTACACCAGTGTGAAACTGTTAATTCCATTTACTTCAAAAGAGTTATGCTTGACTTACACCCATGTAATTGGGTGCAGGCTTAGGGTGTCAAACACTTATTTCAGTAAAAAGAACAGGAGTACTTGTGGCACCTTAGAGACTAACAAATTTATGCTCTAATAAATTTGTTAGTCTCTAAGGTGCCACAAGTACTCCTGTTCTTTTTGCGGATACAGACTAACACGGCTGCTACTCTGAAACTTATTTCAGTAGCACCTAAAGCCCTCAACCAGATAGATAAGCGGTGGTGTCATACTAATAATACAGGAAGGCTGCTCTTGATGATGGGAAATGCAAAGGAGAAGGCTCTTGTACTCAAAGTGAGCTCGTGTGAAGTCAGTGCTAGGCACACTTCCATTCATATTTTCATGTTAAGGGATTTGTAATAGTAGTAGTCCCGTTACACCCGCTATCCAGCCATGTGTTTCTCTCCTCGGGGAGTGCAGGAAAGGAGTAACTGTTGCAGCGTGCTTTACAAATGTGAAGCAAATCACCCTGTGTGCCCTTGGGATGTGTATTCTCCTTATAATGCAGAGAAGTGAAAGTAGCACACAGCACTGAAGTGACTTTCCTAGTATTACCGAAGCTCTTGAGTCAGGCCCCTACACGCTGAGATTACTTTTAAACACATGGGCCTTTAATAGCTGTGGGGTTGGGTTTTTTTCAGTGTAGTAGGTAGTTACAGCCCGTGTCCTAGAGTGGAACCTCATGAGGCTAAGGGCTGTACAGCGGTAGAACACAAAGGTGATTCCTTCCTCGAGGAGCTTCCAAGTTGTTCCTTCTTTGTTTTCAGGTTTCTATGGCTGCAGGGTGCCTAGGGGTCCCCTTTGCCAGCTTTCCTCCACACTCTTAAGGGTAGAAACTTTCCACGACGATCTCAAGGCGGTTTTGATCACTGGGCTCGAAGAAAAACAAGTTAATATGTGGGACTCCTGCCACCTATTCCCATGGAATGGGGGCTTGTGCGTGGAGACAGCAACCCCTGGGCAGGAGCTGGCTGAGGAGCTGCTAGGCCAGGGGAAGGGACAGCTGTTGGGGAAGGACAAAGGAACCAAACCAGCCCATGTTGTGCTGTCTAATAGGGGGCGTGGCCTGATCTCCCGATTGCCACCAGATTTCACCAATAGGAACAGAGCCGCGGCCTCAGCCAATCGGAAGAAGCGGGGGCGGGACTAGCCGAGCGCTTGAAGATTTCTTGGCGGTTCAAGATGGCGGCGGGCGGCGAGGGCCCGGCGCGGGCGGCGGGCGAGGGGGCCACCGGCGGCTTCACTTCCCTGCCAGCCCAGGAGGAAGAGCCAGGCCGCGGGCAGCTCTTCAACACCGTGGTGGACGCTTTCCTGGAGAAACTGGTGGCCGCCGGCAGGTGAGGGGACAACATCTCGCGAGAACGGGGGAGGGGGTTCGAGCTGGAAGTCTCGCGAGAGGTGAGAAAGGGGCGGGGCGGGACGAGTCTCGCGAGACTTGGGAGGAAATCTCGCGAGACTTGTGGATTAGTCTCTATAGTTGACCAGACTTTTGTTTCTCTTTCCCATGTGCTGTCAGAGACCAGTGGCTGAGCTCTGGACACCCTAGTGATGGGCACTTTTAAAGCCAGCTGTGCAGCCTTTTGGGAGAAGGGGGAATCTTGCCTCCAGTCTAGGTAGGGTGACCAGATGTCCCGATTTTATAGGGACAGTCCTGATATTTGGGGCTTTTTCTTATATAGACTCCTATTACCCCCCACCCCCGTCCTGATTTTTCACACTTGCTGTCTGGTCACCCTAAGTCTAGCTCCCCCTCTCCATCCGGACAGTAATGTCAATACGCCTGCCCAGCCCCCTTATCTAGTACCTAGTGACTTGCCCCCCCCCAGCCAATAAAGAACATCGGATCAGATTTTTTAAAAAAATTCCAATTTCAAGCACCAATTGTGCAAAGGGCCCAGGTGTTGTGATACTGCGGGTAAACTGATGCCATGAATGTAATTCTGAGAGGGGAGGCACTGCCCTTAAACACAAGCCGTGTCTGATAACTTTCATACAGCTGTCTTGTATTTCCTTGAGATGTGGGGGCCACCCTAGGTCTTAAGACCTAGCAAAGCAAGTACCCGCTCCACTCTGTTCCTGCCACCTCCTTAATAACTCATGGACCAGGTGCCCTGTTGTGGGGGGGGGAAATCACCACTTGACTAGACCCACCCCTCCCAAACACCCGTTTGGCGGTAAGTGCAGTCCAACACCTGTGGCTTCATGCTGTTTCCCTAATCTCCCACAAGATCCTGCCATGGATTCAGCTGCTCACACAGCAGTTCCGCCTAGGGAGGAGATTAAACTGACTGCTAGTCTAGATCTCTCCAACACTGTTACTGGCTGCAGATTCAGCGATAAGTGCAGATGATAGAGAGTGCCCTAGCCTCCCTTTCTGCCTACTTAGCCATTCACGGAATCACCCATTCTGTCCTGTCTGTGGCTTACTGTAGTAAGAACTAATTTTTCTGTATCTTCTTATACACCAAAGGATTCCAAAGTGCTTTCCTGATTGCGATTGCCATGCACCATCAGCTCAGCTTGACAAAGGGAAATGAAGGAAAACCTGTCTGATTTAGCCAAATTCTGCCTTTAGTTATACCACTGCAATCCTGCTGATTTCAGAGGGGTTGTGTAGATGTCACTGAGTGCAGAATTTGGCCCTTTACAGGTGACTGTGAATAGAGATTTTGTTCTGTTCTTTTGAACACAACAAAACCTTTGTAAATTGGGGCTCTTTTGTTAGACCAACCAGTATACAGATGTGTATGGATCAGTTGTACATATGGTTTGTTAACTATGGACAATTTTACAGAATATTTTTTACTTCTATTTTGTTCTCTTCTGACATAAACATGAATCTTCAATCAGGCTTTTACAGTCTTGTAACTCTGTAATTTCCAGTGTATGGTATTTTAAACCACTTTGTCTGGTTTGCATTTTTTTTCTTCTTCTTTTGCACAGTTACCAGAGGTTTGCAAACTGCTACCATCGCTTCTATAAACTCCAGCCTGAAATGACCAGAAGTATTTATGATCAGTTTATATCCCAACTGCAAACTTCCATTCAGGTAAGAACAAGCAAAGCAGATCTTTGCTTTTATATCTATATCGCCTTTCCCTTTTTTTGATGATTTAAACAAGAAATACGTTTGTACCCAACAGGTTCAGAATTTAAAACAAGCTTGTTTATATTTAAAGTCGAACTGCAGATGTTTAGCTGAGAATTAGACTTGTTTGTAACATCCCAAAAGGTATATGGGGAAATATAATACTTTGGATGTTGCAGCATTTTTCATGCAAAGGTCTTGGAACATTTTCCAAATATTATTGAATCAAGCCTCATATCAACCCTGTGAGACAGGTGTATATTACTCATTTTACAGATGGGTAAACTTTTATAGGCAAGGCACGGAACAGCTGACTTACCTCAGATCTGACTCCCAATCACTAGGTGGTGCTGCTGAAACTGCAAAGTTATGTGCTTCAACGTAGTGCACTATGATCATTTGTTCCCTGAGATCCTAAGCAAGTTAGCAACTAATATACCCTTCCCTGTCCCGTCCCCCCCCTTAATGGGTCTTTCCCCAGTGCCTATCTGTACTGGTGGGGGAAATTGTCCTGGTCCCTGTCCCTTTCATGACTGCCTGCAGAGTTCTAAATAGTTTCCCTGAAAACTGACAAGACTGGGACAATTTTCATTCTTGAGAAAGCTGTGAGCAGCAGCAAATGCACTGGAGCTGACTACAAGCTGAGGAAGTACAGCATAGGTTGCACTTGTTTCCTGTTTCAAAGGACATCTAGAGGAGAAGGTCCTTGCGCCCACAGTGGGAAGGGCCAAGCAGAGAGATGTCCATGCATTGTACTTCCATTTTTTTATCGTTCTTGAATCCCTGGTGGTTTTCCTCTGCAGGAGGAGATTCGTGAGATAAAGAAGGAAGGGAATCTTGAGGACCTCTTTGCCTCGATGGATAGAATTGTGGAGGAAGCAAAGAATCGGGAAGAGCCCGCGTGGTAGGCAGTGCTCTGCTTGGCATGTTGGAAGTACGCTTGTGCTGGTTTATTGGAGACCTGTTCCTTTGATTCTTAAAGAGATAAAATTGACCCTCGTGCAGCACTTTAAGCCCTGTGGAAGTGAGTGAAGTGGTGCATAGATCTTGTGATGGCTCTCTGGACGGGGTGAATTTCACCCAAAGGTGAATGGCAGAGGAGATTTTTTAAAATCATACTACTGTATCCCGACAGGAAATCGATTTCCAAAGTGCACCTTCCACTTAATTGAGTCTATTTGAATCTCTGACTCGGTCATCTAGCTGGACTTCCGGCTGTGCTAGAATCGCACGTTCTGGGCCATGTCCATAGCGTTGGAGGGGAAGTAAAGTCTTGTGCTGAATGTTACTCTGAACGGTGGCTGCTTGGGGTGTCCTGATCTGTTGAAACTTCACGCGGTGTGTAGCCCTTGGGGCTCATTGGGCACTGGAATTCTGGGAGTCGCATTGTGCTGTCTTTAAAAGGCAGGCTGGATAGTCTTTTCGCCAATAATATATGTAGCTTTTCGTGTTCGAGGGTGGGGATGTGTGTTAATCAAATCTCATGCTTCAGGGCATCATCTGATTGCATGAGTGTCAGGAAGGATTCCTCCCCTCCCCCCACCTACGTCATGGCGCAGTGAGACCGGTTCATCATGGGGTGGGTTCGCCTCGCTCTAAATATTAAACGTTCCAATTAAAGCACTTAAGTAGAGCACCATGCAAAGGCGGTGCATCCTAGTCCTCACAACAACATCCCTGTCACTTCCAGGCGTCCCAGTGGAATCCCGGAGGAAGATCTTCATAGCGCCATGGTGCCGTACCTCCTGAAGCACCAGACGTACCTGCGTAGAGCCCTGAAAGAAAAGGAAGAGGAGAACAGGAAGCTGGCAGAGGCTGTATTGGCCGGACGGGAGAGAATCTCAGAGATGCAGCAGCAGATACAAAATCGCAAGCAAGCATGGCAGGTAAAATCTCCATTCCAGCCAGCCCCCGAATCAAGGAAACTGAGCGAGAGTGTCCCAGTCTCCCCAGTTAGAAGAGACAGTGGCTGCACCGGGATGGAAAGTTCCAAGAATGCAAGTTCCAAACTGCAACCGAACGGCACTCAACTGCAGAATTTGCTTATGTGCACAAATCCCGAGGCCCCAATCTAGCTTCATTGTGTTGCATCGGTTGCTGCTCTGATTAATTGCATATCAGCTAATTGCATAATGCTGTTAATTGCCTACATCCCACAGTGAAGTCCCAATGTATAATCACGCCTCTTCCATGGAGAGTCAGGAAACCCATGAGATTTTGCTTATTCATGTAACTTTTTTCACAGCTGCTAGGACCTGCAGAAAGAGGGGAAGATGAGGCTGTCCCTGTAATGGCAAGAAGAACGTGGAAAACATCGTCTAGTGTCACATCCAGCTGTTCAGACCCCTAAGGCCCGACTTTTCACCAGGGCTGCCTTTGCACCTGCTCTTAGAACCACATTTTCCAAAGAGCTGCTCCAATGGATGTTGAGCTCTTTGGAAATCTGGCCCTTCGTGTCTTAGTGGAAGCAGCTGGAGGCTGAGCATTTAAAACAAATTTGGCCCTTATCTAGATACCTAAATGGATGCTGAACTCTCTGGAAAAGTCGGCCCTGAATGCATAACTTTGCTCGTGTGCCTTTGCGGTGGGGTGGGGGTTAGTCCTGCATCTGTGCTCATAAGCAGAGTGTTTTGCCTCGGGCGGTGTTCGTATATGTGCAGTTCCTTCCCTTATGGGGCCTTGTTCCTAGATCAATGCGTCTGAACAATGCATGAGCTGTATTCTGCACGTGCTGTCAACGGTGTTGCACTGTCCTGTCTCCAAGTGTGGAAATGATGCTCCTTTTTGCGTCAGTGCTGCATTTATTTCCTGAACAGTGGGGTTTGTGGAGGAGAAAGACTTCACCATTTTTTTTTTCTTCTATCCAGGCAATTAGTAAAGAACAGAGAGAACTAATCCTGACGTTCCAGGAGCCTGAATGAGGAGGCCGGGGAAGATTTTGCAGAAGTTTCATGTATGGGGTTTATGTTCATCGGTGAAGCCCTGCAGATCTTTTCAGAAGTGGGATTCTCTGTGCATTTACATAAATATCCACTCAAATTGCGCTGAAAACTTGACTTGTCAAGAGCTTTTGTGTTCATTTGTCAGACAACTGTTTACAACACCTTGTGAAGATCGCACATTCTGAAACAGTCATGGGACATAATTGATCAAAATTTGTTGAAATGAGCGACTGCACCAGGGTTTTAGGAAAATCACCAGTAACCCCCGATTCCCAACTAAGCTCAGCAGGAAGGAAGATCTCACACAGGTTTTGAAAGCTATAGCAGATCTGTGCATTCATGCTGCGTTCTTTTAAAAGCTTTACCAAACTTACATTTCCAAATTTAAATGAATGTCGAATTTTTAATACTGATCACTCTTATAACCACTCGTGGGATTTCAGGAGTGTAATAGAGCCAATCATAGGTACCTTATGCAGCAAGTAACACACAGCTACATTTGAAGGAAAGAAACAAATACCAAAACTTCAGCTCATGGGATTTCTGCCAGCGGAACAGTCTGTAGATATCAAGGCAAGTGACCATCTAAAGCAGTGAGAGAGATGTTGCACCCCCACAGTGTATGAATAACTTGTACATAGTTACTTGGAATGGTGTTTTGACATAATAAAACTTGTTTTTATAATCTTAGCACTTACTTTTTTTTTTTAAACAGGTGCCTTCTAGCAAGAAAAATAAACACGTACTTAGTAATAGCTGCTCCAACCCATTATTATGTGGTTCATTTCTATCTGTTGTCTTCTTTACAGAAATTTAACAGGAATGTTTTGCCAAAACAAACACTCAAGGTACGCTGGGAGTTTTGTCTTCCAAGAGCCTAGATGCAAAAGGCCTGATTCGCTGTTGCGCTGTAGTCATTTATACCTGTGCCGTTGGGTGGGAAATGCACCATTCTGACTTAGTGCAGGGTGGGCGTAAAACACGAAGCCTTATGAACATGCATCTGATGAAGTGGGTTTTAGCCCCCGAAAGCTAATGCCCAATTAAATTTTAGTCTCTACGGTGCCACAAGGACTCCTCGTTCTTTTTGCCCCCCATTAGCTAGGGAAACAGCAGCACATCAGTAAAAGGGGACTTGCCCCAGATTGCACAGGGTTAGCAGAGTGTGAGTAAAATCCAGCTGTGCTGGTGCCCAGTGCCTGCTTGAACCATGGTACTCAAGCTAACAATGAGGTTTAAAACACAGGACTGGGATTCAGGAGATCTGAACTCAGGTTGGGGCTTTGCTACATAGCTCCTGTGTGACTGGGGGCAAGTCACTAAGATGCTTTTTTAAATGTTACCCTGTGTCTAACTCCCATTGGTTTCTGTGGGCGTTAGGAGCCTAAATACCTTTCAGGATCTGGACTCTGCCCTAATTCTCCGTCCATAAAATGGGGAGAATGATCTGCCTTCTCTCTTTAGACTGGGAGCTCTTCGGGGCAGGGCTTGTCTCCCTGTGTGACTGTACAGTGGGATCCAGATGCTGGTTGGGACCCCTACAGGCGAATAACGTTCAGAGTAGGTTTGTGACTGATTTCCTAGGCGAGTTCCGGCAGACGTCAGGCCTGCTAGTATCTGTGGGTTACAGCCCGACCTAGCAAAGCCTTTTCCTTCCTGATGTTTCTGGGGACTTGAGAATTGACACTTCTAACTAAAAGCCACTATTGAAATGATATGCACAAAGGGCAGCTGATCCCTGTGCAGCACCCAACTATTAATGCTGAAAACAGAGGCAATGGATTTACTGTCCCCAAATGTCAGTTCCTGGAGAGGCGAGTCACAGCCTTGGAGACTGACCAAAGGAGGTATATTTTTCTTCTCCTGTAAACAAAGCTTGCCTTGCTGCATTATAATCTAAATAAACTGGGCCTGCAAACCCCTCGTTCTTGGCTTGGACTTTGCGCACTTGGCCCAAGTGATCTGTGGTTTATGGCTTTGTTTGACAGCCTCTGGCTGCCTTAAGCTGCCCACAGCATCTTTCTCCTACCCCAAATTCTAGGGTCCTCTTCCAGCCAAAGTGAGGTTTGGCAGTGGTTCGGATCTGGAAGTGGAACGTTGGCCCGAGGGGTGCTGGCGATTCAAAACAAACTGCTTTCTATTCCAAACCAGCCATGAACTCAAAGCCCGCTCGCTGCAAACGTGCACAGGCTGAGGGGGTGGGTACTTGGGTTTAAACAGCCCTGCACGTTAACTCCAGAGGGGATCAATTAGGAGGCTGATCAGCAAAGCGTTCCTGCTTACTGCAGAACATCACTCTGATTAAGGTCTAAAACGTGCCCAGCCATCTCGCTCCATGCCAGGCCCATCAACAAAAAGCTTAAAAGTAGAACACGTCAGCTAAGCCCTGTGTCCTAACATGGCCCTGAGAACATCATCCCAGCCTGCCCTTCTCTGCAGGGATATGTCCCCCACTGCGGGCCTGGGAGGTTGCAGGCTACTGCTTCTCCCATAATCCTTTGTGCCCCTTTCCACCCCACGCCTTCCCCTTCCTTGTCCACATGTCCCAAGCACATTCCACGTGTCTTCCGTGCTGCTCACTAGAAACCCGCCTTCCCCCCAAACACCCCCCCCCCCGGAGTGAGAAGAGATCAGCTAAATGCAGGGGGGTTGAATTCAAAGGGGGCAGAGATGGGGGAGGGCAAAAGATACAAGGAGAGCAAGACAGAAGTGGACACTGACTGGATGCTCCCCCCCGCACACACATTTTGAGACAATGTTCAGGGAGCTGGTGGGTGCTGGCACCCTGGGCCTCTGCCTGGTGCGTCATGAGTGAGAGTGAGGCACGCAGCCCCATGGCCCCGGAGCGCCTCTTGATCACCTTCTCCGGGGTCTAGAACAGGCCCTGCTGGCCATTGACAGGCAGTGGGCACTGGAGCGAAAGGTGCTGGGTTAGTGGCTGTGGGAACCAGAGTGCTCCGTCTGCAGAAGAAGTGCAGCAGGGCAAGCTCCCCCCAGACCCACGTGCTCCAACCTTGCCTACCTGGGCTAAGCAGGTCTCCCTGGGGCCTCCAGTCCTGGGCCTGGCCACCGAGGCCAGTCTGTGCCAATTGCAACTCTAGTGCAGGGGGCTAGTTCCGTCCCTTGCGGCTGATCCTCAGCCTCGCTGCTAGGGGCACCATGGCCCCTGCCTGGTGAACGTGGCATACAGCAGCTTGCCCGCTTTTGCGTAGCTTCCTTGAAAGGGCTCGACCAGTGTCTGGGGTGAGCGAGGGTTGATCGGCACCGCGCTGTTTCCTCTCCAGGGTTTGGAGGCCATCCCGGGGCTGGAGCTCAGGAAATGAGCTTAAATGACAGGATGCACCGGGGAAGGAATGGGCACCAAATTGCAAGGCAAAAAAATTACATCTTAAGAGCCCTGGACACGCACGAAGAGGAAACCCCCGATGGGCCGTGGCAGAAAACATCCGCAGCTCAGCAGCAATTACAGGCCGCAAGCGCGTCACCTAGCGGGTCTCTGCTGCCAAGCCTGCCCCAATCGCTCCAGGTCAGCGCTGCCTCGCGTTCAGTGGGGATGCGCCCGATTCTCACCTGTGAACGAGGGAGAGGGGACACAGACGCGTTTGCCTAAGGTCAGCTGCTGTACGGAAATGGAGCTGCTAAGCCGGGGCTACGTGTGCGTCTGGACTCAGTCCCTCTCCGGCCGTACAAGCAGCTGACGGAAACCAGGCTATTTAGAGAAAATGCTGCGGCTCGCGTCTGGCTCCCCATTGAGCCAGGCCCTGCTTCCAGAGCAGTGGGCGAGGGAGCGGCAGAGGTGGGGAAACTGAGGCAGGGGAACATGCTATGGCCAATGTCACCTGAACAAGCCAGACCCCAGTTCGCTGGTATCCCAGCCCAATATTTTCTCTCTCTCGCTCTCACGACAGAAATCCTGAGACTGGCTTAAAAACGAATCTACTTGAGGTCCTTTTCTTTTTTGCCTTCAACGTTTTGAAGGCAGCACTCATGGGCACAGCAAGAGTTAGTATCACGGTGCCAAGAAACTGCTTGTATGGCAGGCTGTGCTTGGCACGTAACTAGGTGACGCCAGGCGCTGGCCCTTTAAGACAACTCCAAATAGCGTGAGCTTGGTGATAAAAACATCTCAGCAATTGGCAGCACTGCATTACCTTCGTTATAGCTGCATGGGCTGCGCTCAGGCCCCTGGATGAAGAGCCCGAGCGAGGGGACAGTTGTTTGCTCCCAATAATCTGTGCCAGTGCTTGGGTTTCCTGGCGGCGAGGCCTCTGTGCAGCCCGCTGTCCGGATGCTCGGTGAGCAGTGACACAGCAGTGCAAGCCCTGGCATCTCTGCAAAGAGAGCTTTTCGCCGAGCTGTTGGTTGGACCACTCAGTTAAGTAGTTGTTAATAGAAGACACAGGCCTCACGCTTCAGCTGCAGTGAGCAGAGAGCGTGCGGGGTGGGAAAGGTGGCACCAAACCATCTCCCTCCTCCCCAGCTCTTGGCTTGGAGCTGAACAAATCCCCCCGTGTAGCTTAGAGCGCCCTCGGGGCTGCTCCAAGTCATGGGTGCTCAGTGAGGGGGGCTCACAAAGAGCAAGCAACTGGGCCTGGTCCCCCTGCTGGGGTCTCAAGGTGGAAATGGTTGAGAACCAATCACACCAGCTGGGGACTGTGGCGTTCTGCCCCTCATGAACCTCCCCCGACCCCGCCATCCTGCCTCTGATGCAGCCCCTATGCTGGGGTGACCAGAGGGAGGGCGAAGAATCTCATCATTATGACAGGATCCTAATGCCCCCCCCCCAGCTCCAAACACCCTTGAGCTTTAGGCCGGTTGGGAGCTAGCTCCGAGCATCACAGCTCCAGCCCATCTCTGCCTTTGACAATGCTCCCGAGCCCCTCCCTGGTTCTTCCCCTGCAGCCCACACGGGCCCCCGTTGGCCCTGAGAACGCAGGGTTGTTTTCCACCCCAGGGGTGCCTGAAACCACAATTGCCATCTGGGTTTGGCAGCCTCGCGCCCAGACGGATGGGCTCCAAATAGATCTGGCAGCAGGGCCAGGCCCCTCCCCGCCTGTGGTCGAAGCCGGAGGGGCGGGATGAGGGGGGATGTGGCCCTTTACCCAGACAGACCAGGGCTAGCAGCAGGGTATAAATGGCGGCCTGTGAGCCACGGGCTACAACAGGCATCAGCGGAGCATCCTACAAGAGCTAGACAAGAGCGACCAGAGAAACCAGCTGCCGCCATGAAGACCCTCACCCTGGTGACTTTGCTGGCACTGGCGACCCTGTGCCTGTGCCGTGGAGGTAAGACGGGGACCGGAGGCTGCTAGATGCATTAACCAGGCGCTTTCTACCCACAGGCTGCTACGCTGCTGCTTCCCCCTGTGACTGATGTTATTGGAGCTGCTTAAAATCTCAGCCCTCCCATTCCCTGGCACAGGAGCACACGTAGGATATTGGGGCTGGGGGCATGCTAGCATCTCATTCGCTGTGTAACGACAGAGCAAATCACTTTGCTGCCCTCTGCCTCAGTTTCCCCATTTGTGCCAGGGGAATAACTAGGCTGCTCTAGCAGGCTGGGGGGCATTCATGTCTGTCAGGGACTTGGCGAGATTTGCTTCCAGGTGCAATAGATTCGCAAAGCGTCATGCATGGGGTCACTAGCAAGAGGCCCACTCCAGACCCGGCAGCTGTTTGGCATTTCCTCGCCACTGAGCTC